TGTTTTTGCAACTAGATAACCTATTTTTGGAATATCAGGGTAACTTGTAACTTCCCTTTTTCGGGATCCCTCAGGGCATAACCAGAAGACAGAGACCACAAATTCCCTCACTGTTATTGTTGTCATGTTAATTGTTGACTGTTAACTATTCTCTGCCCACCTATGTGAAAGAAGATGTGTCTTTCATTTTACTTCTTATCTAATCCCAGAGATTTCCCCACTTTGCTTTCTCCCACCTCCCTAATCTATCACCAATGGATTTCATGTAACCCAGTCTTACCTTCTCCTCCTTTGAGGGTAATTTATAAAATATGTGAAAAACCACTGTTCTCCAGAGCATTCTCTCAATCTTTTGAAATTCTGTTTCCTGGCAATTGTCAACAGTTTGGTTCAAATTAACTCACAAAAATTCTTTACAGGTTTGAATGTTTCTTAACACTGAATTAGATATCAAAGAAATACATTTAAGAAAGTATCCTTAAATGCACCACAGGAGTTTCCCAAACTGCACATCAATATTTTCTAAAAACATGTACTGAGGATACCAGGGCCTGGTCATTGACATGGGGCATGGGGCAGTGCCCCAAATGAAAAAAAGTTAGTGGTACATTGTGTTTGGTTCACTTAGTATCTCTCTCTTTCTTTTCCTTCCTTCCTTCCTTCCTCCCTCCCTCCCTTCCTTCCTCCCTCCCTCCCTCCCTTCCTTCCTTTCTTCCCTTATTTCTTTCGTTCATTTTTTTTCTTTTTCTGCCACATATATTTATTCTCAACATTTAGATTTCATCTACAATACAGGATTTCTGGTTCTCTCAAAACATTATTAGAAAGGGCAACTTTAGATGGCTGGAAGTGAACAGAGACCCCATTAAACTCACAGTTAGTCCGAGTCACCACTACTCCCTCGTGTGTGCCTGGCTTGGAGGATAAACGTTGACAGTCTTTCATTGTTACCATGTGCTGTTTTTCCTTCTAGTAAAGAAATGCCTTGCTTTTCCCAGTGTGTAGGTGTAAGATAATCTAAAAAGACTTTGCATTTCTCAGACCTTCTCTGTTTGCTCACTTATTTTACCTGCCTAGCCTCTACTGGCATCTGAATATTTGATCCTTAAACTAGTATGTTTGTCAGAAAATGCAACTTACTACCTATAGCAAAAAACGCATGAGATGGCTACATATTGTTGAGATTATTATGTCATTGAATTTTTAGGGCACTCTGTTCCCTGGTACTGTGTTGAGTACTTTAGCTCCCATAATAGTCATAGATATCCTATGTAGTGGATCCTATTATGTCTGCAATTCCCACTTGAGAATACTGGTGTGTGGAGAGTTAAGCAACCTGCCTGTCGGTCAGTAGCTAGAGAAAAGCAAAGCTGATACCAAAACCCACCTCTCTATAGAGTGTCTTTGTCCAGTTTTTATCCTTCCTCAGATCTCTAAGAAATAAAAGACCTCCAGCCAACCCCTCACGCTTCTCCAATATCTAGGAAATCCCTGAGAATCTAGTTCTCAACTTGTGTTGCAGAGCAAGCATTTAACTTCCAATGAGCAGAGTAAACCCCAACTCCTCTCCAAGTATTGGAATCCTCCGGCAAAATCAGCAATATGGAAGTAGCCCAATTTTCTGTTTGTGGAGTTTTCTGGTGGGTAGAGTTTCCAAATCCTTATATGTCATTCTATAGTCTCCTCTTATACCTAAGTTAACTGTTCTGGGGATCTACGTCCTCCATGAGAGTATTAACTTTGGTCTTCCATAGCACAGTCTCCTAGACATCTGTCTCATTGCACTTGGGGTCCAATCTTATTAATCATTGGAAACTTGGTAGCTACTCAAACTTTTGTTGGCTACATGATTGAAGGAATGTATGGCTGTGATGTTGGTATTAATAGTTATATTTCACCATTTGAAGATGACCTTAAAAATGTGATGACTCCAGTAATGTATAATTTTGCTGAATGTAAGTTTGATGCTTTGTGGGAATGAATAAGATAAATAATGAATCTCACAGATCACTTAATTTTCTCCTTTCACTGTAACTTCATTGGTCCTGACTTTTCTCTTTTTCCCCAGCTTTATTGAGATATAATTGACAACTAAAATTAGTACACAATTAAGGTGTACAACTTGTTGATTTAATATTCTCATACTTTGTAAAATATTTGTCACACTCAAGCTAATTAGCATATCCATCATTCACATAGTTACCACTTTCTTGTGTGTGTGTGTGTGTGTGTGTCTGTGTGTGTGTGTGTGTTGATAATATCCCCTCCTACCACTCTTGTTAAGGATCGAAGAGGGTCTCTGTATATTTTCAGTTAAGTTGTATTGCAATTTATCAGAAATGTCTTTGTAGTGATGATACTCATGAACTAGCAATTGGAAAAACGTTGAGAACCGCTTTCTTTGAATATCAAAGGTCTTCAAGGGCTCCAACTGTCTTTATGTAATTAGAATTTGCATTGGATTTTCTAAGTAGGTTCTTCTGTGACTGTCCATGGACCCTTTAGGTACCACACTCAGTCCACGTGTCAGGATAAGCTTCTGAGTAGCCCCTTTTAGTTATATGGAGGAGAGGGCCACGTGATTCATTCTTGGAAATTAACAATGCATAGCTACCAGGAATGGGATGTGGGCTACTTATGCCAACATCTGGCAGGAAGTTGGGGTCCACACCGAATAGCCTTGTGTTATTGTCGCCGGTTGTATTTGAGTGCTCTTTGGTTAGATGATGGGGAAAGTGACGCATTCACATACACACAGGCATGGCCAGAGATCTTGTTACTTCACAAGAGCAAATGACTTCACTAATTACTTCCTCTTGTCTAGCCTCAGTTTCTGCATCTTTAAAATTGGGATAACTATTTCCTCTCTATAGGATTTCCTATGGGCCCAGGGTATTTAATATGCTTCGCCTACTGCCGCACAGTTAATATTCCAGAAATGTTGGCTGTTAATGAACGTGCTTTGAATTGTGTGCAAAATCCCACAGGTCCAGTTTTCAGCCCCTGGGTATGACATTGATCAATAACTCTTTCTTTAAAATAAATATGCATACATATGGCTTAAGGAATAATATTTAGCTTCCTGACTTCATTTCCTCTCATAAACAGTACACATGAGCACCTATGCATATGCATGAGAACGTGCATGCACACACACATGCTCACCTACTTCATAATTTTTTAAAGTTCCCAACAGTCAGGGTGATGTTGTCATGTATTAACTCTGGCAAGTGGCAGAGCTCTCATTTTTACCCAAGTGGAAAGGTTTCAGGACCCATAAATCGGAGGTGGCTTCATGGCAGCACTGGGCATCCTAAGTCTGTTGTGAAATTTCTATTCCATTTAAGGATAGGTCTTGGCTGCTGGAGCTGAGAAAATGGGTCAGCAGAATAAATAATTCTCCTATTATATTGAGAGTATATATCTATTTAATGATGCCCCTTTTAAAAATATGAACAAAATTATTGAGCCAAGTTGGCAGCTGTTGGAACAAGGAAGAAGAAGAAGACCAAAACTACCAAATGCTGATGATCATAACAGAAAAAAAATAATCCAATCAGTATGGAAAGTTGGAATAAACCCATAGCTCCATGTATGGCATATTATGTAACTACTCATAAGGATGGATCTGGTCTGTATGTTTTAACACTGAAAGAACTCCAAATGGATGTATGAACGCCAATTAAAAATGATATGTACACCATGATACCATTTACATAAAAAGCATGTACACAATACTGTGAATGTGGTAAATAGATACTTACTCCAGATACATGCAAAAATGCAAAATAAAAGTACAGACATAGGTCTGCAATGGAGGCCTCCTCTGAAGAGGAAGAAAAGAAACCCCGTTGCAGTGCTGTTACTCAAAGTATATTTTAGCCTTTTCGTTAATGTTTCATTCTTTCTTTCTTTTTTTCCAAAGGACTCTACATTTCCATGTTTTATGTGTAATTAAAACGTTAAAAATGGAAAATTCAATACTTTCCCTTTATGACAGTAATAAAATTATTCTTAAAAACCTATAAAACAAAGAAAAAATATCTTCCAGTCTCACAATTCAATTCAGCCATTACCATTTTGGTGTAATTCCCATCATAATTTAGTTCAAATCATGCTATACATATAATTTTTTATTTGAAAAAATGTTCATTCATTATGGGGCTCTCTCAGTTTTAACTCTGCTCATTTTAATGGGTATAATATTCCCCTAAGCATATACACTTTAATACTGTATTACTTTCTTTTTAATATTTGGTACAGTTAAGTATGTGATCAGCATATCAGCAGTTTTTCTCCCTATATATCTTAAGAGAGATGTACCCTGTAGAGGATTAAAGAATCAAAATATTGGAACGTTTCTAGTGACTTTCCATGTATACGTGAGCTCTAAGTGTGGGGAGTGTTGTGACACTTGGCCGTTAAGGAGGGCCAGAATGCACTGTCCCGAGGGGCCAATGAAACATCCTCGCCTGACCCAAAATGATGCTGGGCAGCCCAGAGAGTAAGAAACAAGCACTCACACATTTTTCTCTCACTCCAGAACTCGTCATGAGGGAACCTCCAAGCCCCTTCAAAAGCCTAATAACTCCAGAGGAGACTCAAAGAAGGAACCAAATTCTGCAGCCACAGATCCAAGAATGACTAGTGAGCAATGAGTAATGGTTAACAAACAAACAAACAAAAAGCCTCCACCCCCCCCCCAACTTACTATTATAACAACAAATAAATGACCCAACCAATTCCCAAATGTATCTCACCCCCAAATGGGAGCTATCCTAGAGAGGCTGGAAGAAGAGCACGCAGGTTAACCCGAAACTAACCTCGCCCCGTTGGGGAAATGATCTAATTGGCTCAGGTGGTTCCCTGTAGCAGGTCAGCAGTAAGGACACCCTCGCATGCGAAGGCAAACAGGGCTTGTTGAAACAGACTCTCTAGTGAAATTATTGGCAGGTTCAGAGGTACAGGCGATTTCTGGTAAAAGGCCAGTGTGTACTCACCATTTGTATAAGGGTTGACAGTCTTTTTGTTTGTCATTACACGTGCTGTGGCATTATTTACCTATGCACACAGAAAACTCAAGTGAGCACATATTCCGGGGCCAACCCACAGTTCCATTAGTTGCATGCATTATGACTGTGATTACTTACTTAAAAAAAATAAAACAAAACAAACTAAAATGCATTTTAATTTATAAAAGGCAGTAGGTGCATAACAAAAAATCATACATTTTTATAATTACATTTACTTCATAACCGTTTTAACTTACAAATCATTTCAATAAAGCAATGTCATATCATTTAAGTTTAATAAGGAGACAGTAAAAGCAAATTAAAAGGAACTGCGTAATTGAAGATTTAAAAGCATGCGTGTACTCCATGGTAACACAGAAACAATAGCTTTTAAACAGAAAATAAAGTTCATATGAAGGAACATGCAGTGGAGTAGAAGAAGGGAGAGACAAGGTACAAGGGAACATAAATGTCAAAAAAGGACAAACAAGTTTTCGCCGTGTGCAACACGTTGGGAGGGAAGAACCATCGGGGAAAGCAACATCTAGCATTCAACACTCGGAACAAGAGCCTTTGACATCGCAAGAATTAACGAAATCATTCAAGCTTTAAAGTCACAGCTAACAAAAGGATAAAAGAGAGGGTGCATTGTTTAACACAATATGGAGTTAAGGATCTGAGTAAGATGTGCACCGGTCATGTCTCAATCCAGTCAGTGCCTTCCAGGCTAGCTTAGAACGTACACTCAATTACAGGCGTACCAATATCCAAAAAAATAGAGCATCAAGAAAACTTAATATGACAAGTCAAAAAAAGTCACGTGGTATATATATATGTATATAGAGATATCAGCACTAAATACGTGTAACGGCAGATGGACTTCACCACTTACCATTCACCACCATCGCCAGCATGGGTTTGTATACAGTTACCATGGTTACTGAGAGTTTGGTGAGGGGCCTAAGCGTTATCGTCGAGGGGGGGAAAATAAAAGGCAAAATATGCAACATCTTACTCCAAAGACTAAAGCATTTGTAACTGGTATTTTTTTTCTCTTTTTTTTTTTTTTAAGTTTTAACAAATATGACCCTGTGGCCACGTTGAGGGAGATCCAGTGGTAGGAGGAGGAGATTTCTGAGTACCAGAATTTTAGTATCAATTTTGTCCATGAAGAGGAACCAGATATTGAACAGGAAATCCTGTTTGCTTATTCGCTTTATTATCAGAAGAATACAAAGGTTCGAGCTTCTTTGACTTCTTAAAAAAAATGAAAGGTCTAAAGACAAAACCTCTCATTTTTTACAAATATAAAACAATTGTTCTTTCAATTGCTATTTCTTTCACAATTTGGCTTAATTTGCACACCACTGTGGATCCCTCGTCAACCCTGCAGTGGAAAGAAAAAGAAAAGAAAAAGAAAAAGAAAAAGAATCTGCTCTGTATTTTGTTCTGTTTTTGCAACACTCTCTCCACTGTCTGGAACCTACTGCACCCATTGGCTCTAACACATGGAAAATAAAATAATCAAATCAAATCAAATAAAAAAACTTTCAGATTAACCTTGTTTTGGTCTCACGTTTGCCATCCACCTTTCAGCAGTAATAAGAGTAACATAATAAAATAAAATGAAAAAAAAAGTAAGGCCAGTTTTCCTTTTTATATATAAATATATAAATATATATATATAAACAATGAGAAGGGAATAGGGTCACATACAAGACACAATGATGCATCTGAAACAACAAATGAGCGTGAAAGCAGACATTTATCAAAAAGATGTAAAGGAAAATATTTTGAACATGCACCTCGATTTTACGGCCCTCTACCACGGTGCCGTGTAATTTCTCCCTCGCCCTGTCCGCATCGGCACTATTTTCGAAAGTTACGAAACCAAATCCCTGCATGCAGGAGGGAGAAGGGAAAACAACATGCAGATTATTATTTCAGTCAACGACCACTGTGTAACGTTCTCTCGCTTTAATTTCTATGTCTTGTCCTGGCTTCCGTTCTGTAACATGCAAATTAGAGAAATTATAAGAGTACTAAGATGTGCAATCAGTAAGCAACAAATGTGAACAAGATATATTTTTTTTTTCTGTCACCAGTTAGCTGTAACCCCTGAAGAATTCAAAGAATGATACCCAAAATACCTTTCTAAATGTCACTACAGAAGAAAATAAGTCTAACGAAAAGAAAATGAGATCAAAATAAATGTACGGTGTCTTCACAGAGAATAAAATGAAATAACAAGGAAAGTAAAAAGGGAACCACTTTCTTGACATGCAAATTAAGAATAAAGTAAAATAAAACGTGTGCACGGAATTCAACAATGAATGCCAAAATCTTCTAACATTGCCTACAGTCATGCTGTGTGGTTTTAAGAACATCTCTTCCTCATGCAGTTTTAGGGTTATTCAAATTGATCAATTCTACAGCCTTTACTTCTCAAAAATAAAAATTAGAAGCCTAAAAAAAAAAAGGAAAGACCTTTTTTTTATAATAAATCTTAAACTCTTGGATCTAATAAACAAAATAATCACATGAAATGAATAGAAATAAACATCAATTGATCAATAATGCAAACAGTTCAAGTAAGTCTTTTGTATTAATACTTCCCCCTCCCAACACCAAAAATGACATACATGCTTAGAAATTTGTCAACTTCCCAGACTACTTTATTAACCAAAAGGGGAAATGAGTCAACATATGATAAAGTTCTAACACATTATGCTGATTTTCATTTGTCATATCAACAGGTAGACAATAAAGGCTCTTTGTTAATAGGATGTTATCTAAGGTAACACTGGGCACTTCCTCTTCTACTGGTAGATGACATACACCCTTCACTTCACCACTGGCAAATGTTGTGTTAATTTTTCAGCCTCAAAAAACAACCCCACTAAACGTTACATTGTCAAAAGCCATCTTTTTTTTTTTTTCTTCACTGACACTGTTCCTAAGAAGAGTACAGAAAATATGACACATTATTTTTAAAACCCCTAAAAATAAGCATACGTCTTGTTCAAATATATACACCAACCTTTTGAAACACTGCCAGTGTCAATTTGCCCAGCTCGTTCTGTTTTTCACAGTGTAAACTAGGTGAAATAATGCCATGTGTGGGGATATTTCAACTCTGCGTAAAGGTAAATGCTGGCTTTAAGCTTAGTTGGGGCAGGAAGATAATCTATTTTATGAATAAAAGTAATAGGTAGTCATAACCTACTAGTGTTAACTTCCAATCACTCACAAGGTCACTAGAGCGTTCTCCGAAGCTCAGGGCATTTGAGAAGGGTGGCCCATGGTCTGCCTAACGGAGAACTTTCCAGTGTCAACGTGGACTCCTCTGTAGAGGACACCAGCTGTGAATGGATTCCAGCTAGGGGACATGCCTCTTTGGCAGGACTGCATAGTGAAAACGTCAATTTCTTTAATTTGGGAGGCGGGCGGAATTACCTTTCATAACATTTCCCATGGTGAGGATCTGTAATTAAGATCGGTCTGAAATGTTTGTCCTAGCCCGGTTGCTCAGTGGTTAGTGCATCAGCCCTCAGACTGAAGGGTCATGGGTTTGATTCTGGTCAAGGGCACGTATCTCAGTTGCAAGCTCGATCCCCGGCCCCAGGTAGGGTATGTGCAGGAGGCAGCCAATTGATGTGTCTGTCTCTCATTGATATTTCTCTCTATTTCTCCCCCTCCCTATCACTCTCCCTGGAAATCAATGGAGAAACTATCCTCCGGTGAGGATTAACAAAAACAAAACAACATAACAAAAAAAAAAATAGGTCTGAAATACTTGATTAATATAAGATTATATGCTCCATAAGAGAAGGACTCTATTTAGGTGGTATGCCTATGTTTGGTACTCAAATACACGTGCTAACTAAATAATAATAGCTCTTTGATGAACAAACAACATAATTTGGAAGGTTTGCTCTCTTTGACGGCTCTGGGTTCCAAACTTAGTTTCACATCAGAAGGAACTGGGAGCATGTTAAACACTTAGATGCCGATCCCTGCCATGTATCCACAAGGATCAGAATCCCCAAGAGGAGCCCAGCAATCTGTCAAAAAAGCTGCTGTGTGGTCCAGCCTTTGGGTTCCCATGGCCTCTCAGCACCAAGCACCATCAAAAGAAGCTTCGATTCTTTGTATGAAGTAGAATATTGTACCACCGATGTCTGTAGTGCAAACCTAGGGAGTGGGTTGAGTTTCTGAGGTGAATACCTATCTGACACGATTATTTGGATCTTAGATCAGCCAAAACCATATTGCAATGTTCTCATCCTCACCAATAATCCAAATTCCCTAGCATCCATAGCCATGCCATACATTTACAGTAATAAGTATTAAGGGAAACCAGGATTCTGGCTGTACTGGAGGCAATTTTCTCACTAGGCAAGGAAGAAAATTCCATAGTTCCAGTCAGAGATGGAGGGCTTGGTGGCATCCTTGGTGTCTATGGGCACTAGCAGTCATTATCACCATAGTGCTGGGAAGAATGTAGGTGAATCTGAACATTCAACCTACCTGTCTAACATCACGCCAAGGAACTGAGTGTCATGAATCTAGTCTGAACCCAAGGCAAACCATCCTGGCCTGAAATCTGCATTGTGTATGCCAAGGAGGAATAAGATGAAGATGCAAATATATTTTGAATCCCAAGGAAAGTTGGGAGGAAGACTCCATACCACGGAAGTAAGGATAGTACTTTATTAGTAGTAGCAGTACTCAATTTCTGTTAAACTTCTCTCTCTCTGAGCTTCTCAATACTTCTCTATTCAAGCTGATGAGTTCAAAATTGTGTGAAGTTGGGTTCATGTGGGTTCATGAATAGCTTGCTCCAGAAACAGTCCCTCAAATACCCAAGGGACTTTCCTTCCTGTTCCATTGGACCTTCATAAACCCCACCCAAAGGAGTGATCAGACCTCCTGCGTCAGATGTCTGCCAGAATTCTCCTCTGGGGAAGTTCACCGTAACCAGAGAGAACCTCACCTGGCCACTTTCAGGGACCCTCTCCATCATGCAGAGGTACCAGGCAATGCTGCGAGCTGGTGCTGAGGTGGTTTCTTTTGACCTGCCTTGTGGTCAGAATTCTATCGCAAGCAACCAGCAACTTGCCTTTCTTAAAAATATTTTGAATACTTTTATCTCAGTCTTAGCAAGGGGAACAAAAGAAGAACAGTGTAGACCTGGCTTGGGGAGCAGAGGAACTGAGTATAATGCTGATGGATAGTCCCTTAAAGACGAAGAGTGCAGCCCTAGCTGGTTTGGCTCAGTAAATAGAGCATCGACCTGCAGACTGAAGGGTCCTGGGTCACGGGCACATGCCTGGGTGGCAGGCTCAGTCCCCATAGGGGGCATGCAGGAGACAGCCAATCAATGATTCTCTCTCATCATTGATGTATCTATCTCTCTCTTCTCTCCCTTCCTCTCTGAAATCAATTATATATATATATAGTATATTTAAAAAAAAAAGGTGAAGAGTACATGAAAAAGGCACTGTGCTTCTGGAGAGGAGGGTCAGTGACATGTTCCCCAAGATGGGAAGGCATGATCCACAGGCCAGATAATGTGAATCTAAGAGAGACCACCAGACTAGCGTGGCTTGGTTATTTTTAAAGCTTTTGGTGAATCGTGAATTCTGATTTCCTCAAACCCCAGTTATTTTTCTACTTGGTCTTGTAGCATACATTTAGGTGATAACTTCCTTTTTTGCATGAATGCAAATACATTTTATAGCTCACGCAAAAGCTCTGAAGGATGGACGAGTACCCTGACTTTCCACCTGACAGGAAAATCCAACCCCTCTAGTTTCTGGTGCAGAAAACTGCTCTCTGTACGAGGGAGCTGCTGATAAGTCTCTGAAGGTTCATCTTCCTGTGGAGTTAAGAGCTTGTTTCTTCTTTGACCTTTGTCCATGCAGCTCTTTCTCCTCGGACATCTTCCCTCCTTCCCTTCCCTGGGGAACTCTTACCCATCTTTCTCCTTCAGCTTACATGCCCCTTCCTCCCAGAAGCCTCCCACCTTCTAACAACACTGGCCTACCCGGTGGGCTCTCAGCAGCCTCTCCCTCAGCACAGAGCACAGCATCCTCCGCTGCAGAGGTCTGTCTCCAAGGCCTGTCCTTCCTGCTGCTCAGGCGTCTGTGAGGATGACGGGAAGCACGCCCGTCTAGCCCATGGTTGATTGGCCCATCCGGTACCTGGGATGTAACCCATACTTACAGATGTCTATGGAGCCAAAGGCCAGCCTGTATATTTCCCAGGCATATTAAAAAGTAGCTATATTTGTCTGTATCCTCAAATAAAACATTTCAGAGCCGAATAATATGTTTTTAAATCCCCTAAGAGTAAAACAAATTATAGTACCTCTCACTCCTAAATGCTATCTAGTTCTCATTTACAAAGTCGGGCATAGGTTGTTGTTGTTGTTGTTTTTTTAATGTGGTTATCTTGTACACTTTCTATTCCTAGATAAATGCATTATTCATGTTACACATTCCTGGATAACATAGATACCACTCGTCTAGGTAGCTACACACACACACACACACACACACACACACACACACACACACATACACACACATCGAACACCTATCGAACACCCATAGAACACCTAACCATACTCAGTGAGCATTGAGTGACCTGCCTTGGGGAGCAGCCGCCAGGAGGTGAGCTCCCAGCTCTTAGGGTCCACCCACTTGCTGGCTGCCCCTCCAGCACCCAATGATGAAAATGAGGTCATAATAGCCGTTCAGGTTTTTCAGCCATTAAAATGGAAATGTTCTTCTAAATAGGCCCTTTCCCCGTAAAGGATAATGTCAAGTAGGAAAAATATCCCTGCGTGAGCCACGGTCCCCATTTTAGCAGATCCCAAATGGACTTTCTCCATGACTCTCAGCCATACCTAAAACAGTCAGCCCTGACCCCTGCCAGACCAGACCGGGTCTTTGAGAGGGAGCAGACCTGCAGACAGAGAGGGGCTATTTTTGATGTTTCCAAATTAAAAAAAAAAAAAAAAAAAGCAGTTCCACAAAGTCAGTGTCTGGATGAGGCCCACTTAAGTGGTCTTATTCGGAAAGCCCCAGAGACAGGCTAATCATGGGGATGACGAAGAGTCTTAAAAATAGCACTGCCATTGTACTTTCAAAATAGCAAATGATATTCTTCTAATGTCCCAAAACAGCTCTGGAAAGGAATTAAATAGCTTTCTCCCACTGGCAAAAGTTACCAAACAAAGTATAAATTAAATACTTCAAAAATAGTGGAGCTACAGGCTTAGATGAGAAGGAATTTGGCCAACATTTCAGGTCCTCTCCTATTGCTTTGCCCAGAATACCTCAATCTTGAGTGAAAAGGATGACACTGGGCTCATTTTTCTATTGATGCACTCGGCTTTGCAGGGGTAGACGTAGTCCCTGTGATGACTTCCATACGAGAAGCAGAAAGAGAGCTAACTTCTCTGTCCCCGAGCCTAGAGGTCAAACTGCCGACACATTACAAGAATGAGGGCAAAAGGTCTGAAATGATAGAGTGGCGAGGTCCCTGAACTAGCAGAACATTATAGAGACTATAATGGATTGATGGATCTGACTCAGCTGACAACTCACAACGTCGTTTTGGCTGTGGAGAGGGGGAAACTGGAATTTTCTTCCCTCAATGCCATTGGCATTATCCTATTCAGTTACTACTAAATCTACGCAGGAGTGAGGGGTACAGGCTGTCCAGGGAATGATAAATGCAAATGTCTACTTGGTGGGGAAGACATGGTCACTGTTCCCAAGAGGCTGGCACTTGCTACCTTAGACAAACCCGTTCCTCTGAGAAGCCCTCCCTGGATACTGACTTGTACCAAATTGCCTGTGTGAGGGGAGTGATGGGCTAAAATCAGTATCTCTCTGTACCTGCTGATCACTTTCTGCTTTTTTTTCAGATATGACTTTTTAAAAAATTAAATCTTTATTGTAGAAAATATTACATATGCCCCCTGTCCTCCCTGCTCCCCCAACCCCCCAGCATTGACTCCTACTAGCTTGCCCTCATACCCCACCCCAGGCCTTTACCACCCCATTATCTGTGTCCATGGGTTATGCATATATGCATACAAGTTCTTTGGTTGATCTCTTCCCACCCACCCACCTTCCCCTGCCTTCCCTCTGAGATTCCACAGTCTGTTCTAAGCTTCTCCCTCTGGATCTATTTTATGCATCAGTTTATTTTGGTCATTAGACTCCACATATGAGTGAGATCATGTGATACTTGTCTTTCTCTGACTGGCTTATTTCACTCAGCACAATACTCTCCAGGTCCCTCCATGCTCTCTCAAGGGGTAAGAGATCCTTCTTTTTCACTGCTGCACAGTATTCCATGTGTACATGTATCACAGCTTTTTACCCACGCGTCTACTGATGGGCACTTGGGCTGTTTACATACTTAGCTACTGTCAATTGTAAGCATGTTCTTTCAACCCCCACTTTCACAGTCAGCGGAGGGGAGGAGAAGGGAGCTTAAGCTCCCTGAGGCCCTGTGGGCCATTTGTCCGGAAACAGCCCAGTTACTGCATGTGTTTCCCATGTGGCTGCTGAGGTCAATACGCTGCTCTTACAGCATCTTCCTGTTCCCCCTCGGTCTCTGCTGCTAGGCTGAGGGCACGCTTTCCCTCCAGGAGACTCTGACGGGGTTCCTGAGTTCCCTGTGGGTGCGGGTGGAAGGAGGACACGTTCGCACCCACAAAACACCAGTGGGCAGAGGGCGCTGCGCCTTCAGAGGAAGCGTTGGCATTTGCCTAAAACAAGAACACTCGGCGTTTGTGACGTTAATAATAGGCCTGGGAGGTTTATTAAAGCACAGATGGCTGGGCCCCGCTTTCGGAGTTTCTGACTCACTAGATCGAGAATTTGCATTTCTTGTCAGCTCCCAGGTGATGCTGAGGTGCCGGCTGGGGGACCACACACAGGTAACCGCTGAACAGGGGATGCTTTGGAAGAGTCCGGCCTTTATTTTTCTATCCTAACATATTTCTACTTTGAAAGTGCTGGAGCCTATTCATATAACCACAGATTTTTATGAATACTGTGCGCTCTAGGAAAATCCACTTAAAATTTGGTTTCCTAGAAAAAACAAAATCAAAGCAGCGGCAAATTGCAAAATGTGAACTGGTAATAAGCACACAAATCAATAAAACTAGATTCAAAAGGTTGGTGTATACGAATTTTTCTCCCCTACAACCCAGGAAAATAACTGCACTTTATTAATACAGAATAATCACATATTTACCTGCTCATGAGACTATCAACTCACTTTTTAATATAAAGAACATAATTATCACTGAAAAACAAAAATGTACCAACAACATTATTTTTTTAAGCATGGGTAATTTTCCTCTGGAAACTTGATCTATAAATAGATAGACAGATCTAAAACAGCCATTCTAAATTACCCCCTTCTATGTTTAAAACTGAACCCAATGCATTTCCCCACGATTTTGGAAACCGGAAGTGGTCTCGAAAGGAATTCCCCATGAAGGGTATTTTCACCACGTGCTGATTAAAACAGTGCAGTTGTTTCCCATTATTCATAACAAGCGTTTTACAATAAGCTAAATGATTCTAAAGTGAATTAAGTTGCTTACCTTGGAGCCTCGCTCATTAAAAATAATTTCAACATCTAAGATTTTACCAAATTGCTGCAAAGAAATAGAAATATTTTATAAGCAAGAGGAAAAATGGAGGAAATCATATTATGCACATTGGTAATGATACCCCACGTCAGATTCTTCTGTTCTTTTTTAATATACAAGGATATTGCATTTTATTCTGTGCTGTCATTAAACAGTGCCCTTGAACCAAGAGAAAAAACAAGCACACATGTTATTTCCATGCCTCACAGAGTGGGAGAGCGGGGTAGGGGCCTGCCTGGTACAAAGTAGGTAATCAAGAGGTTATTTCTAGTTTCCTTTCTTTATGTGTGCAGGATGGCTTTCCCAGGCACTGAGCAGCAAAGATTAAACATGGCTAATGTATCTGCCGGCCCTTCTAGGCCACTCCACTAATCACAAGAGAAAAACCCTGAAGAAGTGGGATTTGGGTAGTAAAATGTCCAAGCGGAATATGAGGTTGAGGATTTTGATCCCAAGCCCCCATAAAACAGCCAGGCCATGTAAGACAAGTAAAGTACAAACAGATAAAAGTAAGATCCACTACCCGGACGCCCGTCAGAATCCACACACCAGCACAATTGTGATTAGACCTCGGGCTGAAATGTATGTCTCTCCAGATGATTCTCCATGTTGTTAAACAAACAAACATATCTTAGACAATTAGCATGAATGTGCTCTATAAAAAGCGGAGGCGACTCCACGTATTCAAGTCTAGGAACAGAACTTCAGATGACAAAGAAATTGGACAGTCATGTATAATACAGATGCCTACGTAGATTTAAATTTCAAGTCTTCCAGAATAACTATGCCCTGAAAATAATAATACTGGGGATACGCTTATTCTTAATGCAATACTTGTTATCTAAACTTCAAATTCAACTAGCATATCTTGTATTTTTTTTATTCATTTGCTAAAGCTCCTAGTCCTCATGAGAAAGATGTCAAGCAATTCTTGATTCACACTTTAAAGACAAAAAGAAATGTGCACCCTGACACCAGAGGCATCTGATGCTCCAAAACCCTTTTCCTTGACCTTGGAATCCTGTCAGTTTTCTTCACTCACATGGAGTCGAGTGGGCGACTTTTGAGAGCAGGTGGGAGAGGGTGGCATACAAGCAGGCGACATGGCCCAGGGAAAAAGAAGATGGAAATTTTACCCTGATGCAGAAGGAGAGCAAATGTTCACGTTATTAAAAATAAACAGGAGACCATAAAGTCATGTTTCCATCTCTTTACCCTTTATTTTGAACATTCCTATTGTTTCACTTGCTTCTGCAGCCTTGGTTTTTATTGCATCGTTTATTACCATAGGAGACTCTGCATTCTGTCTCTCCCCTGGGTGGAAAGCATGGAGCAGCCTCTATGCAGCAGGGAACAGAGTGGTTTGGAGGGAGGAGTAAGACAGGGAAGGAACCAGCTGAACACAGATTACTGAGGACAACCTGCCTGACCAGGAGCATCTGCATAGGATGCTGGGAGGCCCTGAGAGCGAGTGTCAAGAGGGTCCTACCAACATTCAAGAAAAATAAAATATTCAGAACATACAGAGGCTGTCCACTGAAACATACAAACTATCCTACCTTACTGGGAAAGACAGAAAAACATATGCATACTCTAGGCCACTCCACTATAGCAATATAAATAGCTCAAAACTTTGAAATGAAAATAGTTCTTACTACAAGAAAAAGAAACCCAAAGCTATGTCATCCTGTGCCTTTGAAATATGCCCATTGCTCAGAATATGTACCCAGGAAGGACATCATAGAATGGAATTTTTCTTGTTGAACACAAGCACTTCTCTACTTCCCAAAGGATAGAAGGACAGGAAGGCATCAAGAAGACAAGGCTCAACTAAGAGAGGAGATGGAAGGATGCTAGCGTGTACAGGTTCAGTTCCAGACCTAGGCAATAAAGCAAACATAGCAATAACACAAGTCACAAATTTCTGTGTTTCCCAGTGCATATAAACATTACATTTACACTATACTGTAGCCTATTAAGTGTGCAACAGTGTTTATGTCTAAGAAATGTACATATCTTAACTAAAAATACTTTATTGGCTAAAAAATGCTATCATCTGAGCCTTCTACAAGTCGTAATCTTTTTGCTGGTGGAGGTTCTGACCTTCAATTTATAAAAACAATGCCCTATCTGCAAAGCACAACGTGGCGAAGTGCAATAAATGAGGCCTGCCCGTACAACGGAAACACCAAGAAGCATGCGGCTAACTCACCCTGCCATTTCTGGACGCTCAGTCTTTCGGTCAAGAGAATACTCTTCTACAGAGCATTCTGAGTGCCCTAGATTCGGGCAAAGAAAATCATTAAAAACAGAAAAAGAAAACTTTCAGATTTGGAAGCGAAGGGTTTGCCATTGAAAGGTGAACTTAATCTCATAGCTAAGAAATCCTCCAGCTGGGTGAGCGCCTCAGAAGCATTAACTTTGACCTAAACTTAGAAAAGTCAGTCCACACAGATGCTACTATGTGTATTTCGGAGAGAAGGGCCTGAAAGCACTCGCATGGATGGACAGGGAAGCTTGAAAAGAACTTCTTTCCAAACCATGAAGCAAACGTCAGCTACGGAACATTCTCTCAGCAGTCAACACACAAACACTTCCTTAAAATAAGATCTCCTGGAGAAAGAATCAAAGGAGAAGTATCTTAGCACGTGTCTTTCCCCAAATAAAACGATGACACCATATGCCCCGAAATGGTCTCAACTGGTTGCCTCTTTGGCGGCTACCCTTGGGCTGATGATTCTCAGAGCCAAGGAAACGAGCCTTGAGAAGAATGCTGATGTCAGCCCCACGGCTGAGACAGTTGTGTACTATATTTATAGTATCAACAGTTTAATTGGGAAGTTGGTACTAATGATGTAAACACAGCTGGCACATTTTCAGTTTAAACAGACACGACTCATTCGCAGACATAACTAGCATTTGTTTGCTCAACACCAATGTTGGGTGGCGTTCAACAACGTCTCAGAATCCACACAAGGTGCCTGGATGGCTGCATCCAGAAGGAAATCCAGGCGCTTATAGGCACGCACGTGGGCAAATCTGTCGCAGGCATTTGTAGACATTCTCAGATCAAAAAATATTTCTCTGAGAAACTGTGCAAGATGGTCAATGGATACAGCATGTAACATGAAAGTAAAGGTTAGTTCAACAAGTGTACAGAGAGGCTAAGGAGAGGCATCCTCTGAGTTTTCTTGGGGTCAGCTTCATGCTTAGAATGCAGACCGAGGAGGCACCCTGCCATGCCCAAGAAATCAGCTTCACTACTTATAATATCGCAGTGGATGGAATTCCTGTCAACACTGAAAGTGCAGGCATATCTCTCACTCTATATTATTGCTACAGAGGTGATCATGAAAGCTGCTTTTGCGTGCTCTGAAAGTCATGGGATCTGCTTCTTGGTGACCATAAAGAGAGACTTCAGTAGATCGTGTGCATGCCCAAGTGAGTCTGTCTTTTGATAACCAAAGCAAGGCTGTGACATCAAGGGTCCTGTGCAAATTTGAAACCTGAACTCACTTGAGCAGCTGTTTCTGAAAATAATTCTACGATGGAATGAGTTGTATCCGTGATCTGGATAGCTTATAATCACTTCTCTCTTCCCAAACCCAGAGATGCTTAACATTTGAATATTAGGTTAAATTAAGTTTCATATTCAGGAGCAAGATATTATAATTAATGTGTGGAAGTCCATACATTTCTTTAGTGGGATCATCAAGAACTCAATGTAGAGGAAGTACAGGCTCATGAATGATGTCTGAAATGAGGACAGAGCTCAAGAAGAATGGAGCCAGGCCAGGACCAATGATTCCTTCCAGTGAAACATCCAGAACCGAGGTCCTGATCATATATATTCGAGCCATTCACTCACACCCCTGCTGGTGCTTTAAGAGGACTTCTACTTTGGATAATGTGGCCACACAGCAGCTAGGCCGAGGAATGCTCCATCTTAAATAGAAAAGGAAATCCATCTATAATGAGCTAGAAGAGTTCATGACAAACATGAAACACATGCCTCCAAAAGAGGAGAAAGTACAGAATATGAAATGCATGTGGAAAAAAAGATAACCAGAATGGCAATAAGGAGGCACTGGAGCCACAAATTAAAAATAATAATAAAAAAATGCGAGACATTTGTGGTCACCATTAGGCCCACAGCGGTTGCAAACTTCAGGACTGAATGATGAAGTTGTTATGAACATTGCCAGGTTGTCCGCAGTTTGAGAAAGGAGGCTGCTTTTTTGTCTTGTTGTGTTTGGAGTCTGAATCTCCCCTGGCCACACTGAGGAAAAGAGACAAGGGAGAAAAGCTCAGAGGCCTTGTGAGAGTTTTCCTCCATCATTACCCGCACTGTAGCTCCTGCCAAAGTGAAGGGACAAAGACAAAATATCCCACCGAAAGGAGAGAAGGTGTCTCATGTCTATGTGTCCTGGAAAATACCAAACTGGGATCAAAACTGGGAAGCCAATCAGACTGTTTCAGATGCCTTCCAAAGGGATTCATGCCACTAAATGTATCAGATAACCGGAATAGGTTTGCCACCACCAACGTTTGGCTAGGAAAGATAAACGCTTTTGTTGTTGGTATATTTTTTTTAGTGTTAAAATTCCATTTCTTCAGAATGATGGTTGTAAAACAAGGAGGCCTCCGATTTACAGCAGAGTCCCAGAATCCACATGTACGCAATAATTCTTTATGGATGAATCCCATAACAAAAATCTTGCCTACTTTTCTAAATGGACACAGATGCTGTGTGTGATAAGCAAAATGCATTTTAATATTACTGAATGTACGCTGTGTTTTCGTAATGCATAAACAGTAAGTGTATCTATCATCTTGTCAGATTGACATCTTGCTAGTTGCTTGACAATGTTGACTTTTACAAAAAGTGGCTATGAAACCAGTCGATGTCCATCAAGGTTTGACAACTGGTAGTACGATGGATCTTTTGGTTTATAAGGTAATAAATGAATACACCAAGACTTTGCTCCATGCCACCTGCCCTACTACCCCTGTAAGGGTAAGAGGTTCAAATATTCACACACACACAGGATCCCTTCTTCGGGAGTTCTAGCTGTGGGTATTGTGAATGCCTCTCCAACTTAGCAGTGTCCTCTCCAGGAATTTTCAAGATAACCAAGAAGACTATGGAGTGAAGAGCACCTTCAGGGGGTGGGAACTGGTTGTGCTGCAATGAGCGACCCCATGAGGGAGCACCGGATGGCCACCCAGAGGACCGAGTTCAAAGCCAACATCCCAGTGACACCTGATGAGTAATGATGGGCCGAAGAGCAACACGGCTTCCTCACCTGCTGTGGCGAAAGGAATCTGATGCCCCTGGCTTCCCGTCACTCAGACCTGGCCTGGCTGCTTTACACACTTAACCTCCACTTTCACGTTGAATGCTCTGCACTTTTCAAAGTCATCTTTGACCCGAAAGTGCCCGAGGGTATCTCTGCTCTGCAACAGTCAGAGAGGGCTCAACTCAAGGTTATTACCAAATGAGAGAGATGAAAGTGCAGGAGCTGACCTTTTCCTCTGAAATGTCAGGTTTCAAGTCTGGGTGTCTTCAATGTTAGGATGCCTGGTCCGCGTCTGTGTCAGACGCGCACTTGATAAACATCGTGCATGTTCAAGGAATGAAAGGTGCACGCGAATCCCACAGTCACAGGGCTGTGAGCCAGAGCTCCCTTCCCACATGGGCAATAAGAGCTACTTTGCCCAGAACTAGGCATTCGGGTTGGGCTTGAATAGTATCCAAGCCCACGGTAGCTTTGTCCTTTGCCGAGACTGAGCCCAAGGAAATGACAAGTTCATCCATTCCCAAGGTGGGCAGGGCAGATATTGTCCAGAAAAACTGTCCGGGTCATGATGCCCCACGAGGAAGCAGCCCTATCGTTTCTTTTCTCTGGGTGGGTGTGACTTCTGTCTGCATTTCACCATCGTGAGGGGCCACACTGCCATTGGTGCATCCATCACCACAATAGGGACCTCTGAACCCTCACCACGGGTTCCAGGAGGGTGCACACTGCAGGATGTAAGGCAGACTGAGAAGCCTCTAGCTTTTGTTCTGTTTTGTCTTTTAACGAAGCATTAGAACTGATTATTCTCTACAGCTGCGTCAGGCCTCTCAATGCACAGTGCCTGGGAAAGGGCGAGGTGTGCCTCATGACAATCTGGCAACTGCCTTAGAGAGAAGAACCAAGGTGAAACATGATGTTTATTTTTTAGCCATGACATGGGGTTTGGGCCCCTCAATTTGGGATCACCAATGGCTTGTTTCAGCAGTGTATTTATCTGAGAGTTAATTTTCCATTTGATATTTCAGTTACTAATTAGTAAGAGACCATTTGGCAAAACGGAAACATGGTGGACACAGGCAAAGAAATTTATACTAAAATCATATAAACAGCCTAACTACCATATACCCACAAAATAGAACCTCAAATCCTCCCTTTTAAACGTCTCACGTCGTATTATAAATAGCAAGAACTTACATGAAGGGCAGGGCTCTGGCCCCTGAGCAGGCACTGCAGGGGAGAAAGGCGGTACTTACGCCAAACATTTGTCGGAGGTCCGGGTCGCGGAAGCGGAAGGGGATGTTGGAGACGTGCAAGCGCTTGGGCTGGGACTTGTTTTCTGTATTTTCAGAAGGTTGTGTCTGAGGCTGGCCATCCGTCGGCGCTGCGTCATCTGTCTGCTAAAAGAACAAGAGCAAGGCAAAGAGGCTCTGAGTGGGCCCAAATGCTCTTTCCCAAAATGCTTTTGCATCCCCTACATGGTAGGAAAATGCCAGAGCAGAGAAATAAAGGCAGGAAGGAACTGCTGAGTGGTTTTCATTCTTGCAACAAAAGTTTACTGAACTCTGAGTGCCCATCATGGACTTAGAGGTGGGGTTTAACAGTGAGCAAAGCAAACACCCCTGTCCCCACGGAGCATATTTCCCCGGGGGGGAGACTGCCGCATTAATACATAAATATGGGCCAGAGCTGGTTTGGCTCGGTGGATAGAGAGTGTCGGCCCAAGGACTGAAGAGTGGAGGGTTCAGTTCCATCAGGGGCAGGTACCTCGGTTGCAGGCTAGATCCCTGGCCCTGGTCCAGGAGTGTGTGGGTGGCAACCAATCATGTGTCTTTTTCACATCAATGTTTCTCTTTATGTGTCTCTCCCCCTCCTTTCCACTCCCTCTAAAAATCACTGGAAAATATCCTTGGGTGAGGATTAACAACAAAAATAAATAAATAAAAATAAATAAATAAATAAATATGGAGATGACAAAAGGAGAAAAGCACTAAAGGGAATTTTAACAGGCTGTCAGAGAAAAGTGTCATCAGGAAGGGGATAGGACTCATAAAGGCAGGAGAAGGTGGATCCCTTACTCAAGGCTGTTCGAAATCTTAGGATACAGCTACATAATTGTTGAGGTTGTGCAGATAAAATATTAGTATATATACTAAAACATTTGAAAAGGCCATTTGGTATTCTGCAGTCCAAATAGCTAGCTGATTGACTTAAATTATTTTATTTTACTTTATGGTTTGAACTTTTGTTTCTTTATTTTAAAAATATTTTTTCATTGATTTTTTACAGAGTGGAAGGGAGAGGGATAGAGAGTTAGAAACATCAATGAGAGAGAAACCTCGATCAGCAGCCTCCTGCACATCTCCTACTGGGGATGTGCCCGCAACCAAGGTACATACTCTTGACCAGAATCAAACCTGGGACCTTTCAGTCCGCAGGCCAATGCTCTATCCACTGAGCCAAACCGGTTAGGGCTGAACTTTTGTTTCTTGTTTGTGTAGGCTAGTGTTGTCCATTATAGTTTACCCCATATAACGATTTAAATGTAAACAAATTAAATACAATATAAAATTCAGCTCCTAAGTCACACTAGCCACATTTCAAGTGCTCAGTAACCACATGTGGCTAGTGGCTTCCATATGGGGCAAGCAGACACAGAACTGCAGAACGTTGCATTAAGTTGGTGTGGACAATGTCACATTATTAGCATAGCTCACCTGCCTCCCATTTCACCCCTCCCAAATAAAAGCCTGCATCACATGCTATTACACTGACACCCTTATATAAACAGGAACTTAGGAGAAAAGTCACAGTAACATTTGGTATCATTGTAGCCATGCCCATACTCTGAGTTCTAGAGTTTCAACATTTCAGAGGTGCTTCATTTTTACTTTCCCTGCAATTAGCACATACTACCTGCAGGTGGCAGTAGATGCCATCCACGTCAGATACCTGCTTCTCTGAGGCCAAGATGGAAAAACCTATGTGGAAGCTCATCAAATTATGAGCAAGGAATCGTCCTCACCTACTTACATGCAATTTAGTGGCATATAATTGAGACAAAACCTATCAATGCAGGCAGCCAGCTGTAAAACAATAAAGACAATTTTACAAAGTGAAATAGATATATGCCAAAATAACGTGAGCATAATTAGTGACTTTCTTGTCAACTCTTGTATTAACTGGCAGATTTCATTTATTATTTCATTATTCTCCATCCTATACATCCTGAATTGCAGTTTGAAGTCAAGACCGCCAGGTGATTGGCACACTACTTTGCAAGCTGGTTTCATATCCAAAGCCCCCTACCAGATGACTTTGTCCACTCCCAAGTGCAATGTTATGATGGCAACAACAATTATGCATATGCTTTTGGAGTGAGTAAGGAGGAGGATGGTGACAGTTTTCTAGTCTGGAAAATGAACAGTAAGAACGCCGCATACCTTAAATGGCTCTGTGAAGATTGAACACAATAACGTATGCCTGCTTGGCAGAGTTCTTGGTTCATGGTGTACAGTCAATAAATAAAATGTAATGCATTTTTTTAGAATGATGATTTTAAAAAAATATCCAATGAGAGATGTAAAGAGACCCTCACAGGAAACAAAGAAGAAAGGTCCTTATTTGCTTATGAAACACCTCTTTACTGAGCAACTACTATACATTAGACACGGAAGTTGGTCTTAAAATGCAGTTCCCATTTTAGTACTAGACAAAGAGTTAGAAAGAGTCATCTGTAATATCACTGTTAAATGCTGGGAGGAGAGCAAATCCCAGGAGACCAAGTAAACTTAAATCAGGGGCACACAACACTGTTGGAGGTTCCACAAGGCCTACCAGTTCTGCAGGTTAAGTCTGAAGTGGGGGATGCCTAAGAGAAGAGGTGACGGGGACTGGCCCTGTGACAGCAGGCGGCAAAGCTTATGCCAGCGGTTCTCAACCTGTGGGTCGCAACCCCTTTGGGGGTTGAACGACCCTTTCACAGGGGTCGCCTAAGACCATCGGGAAACACATATATAATTACATATTGTTTTTGTGATTAATCACTATGCTTTAATTATGTTCAATTTGTAACAATGAAAATACATCCTGCATATCAGATATTTACATTATGAATCATAACAGTAGCAAAATTACAGTTATGAAGTAGCAAGGAAAATAATTTTATGGTTGGGGGTCACCACAACATGAGGAACTGTATTAAAGGGTCGCGACATTAGGAAGGTTGAGAACCACTGGCTTATGCAAAGACACAGAGATTCAGGAAGTACGTGTGGAACTCACTGGCCCTGGCCAGAGGGTGCGAGTATGGAGGAGGCACAGGAGAGCACACTGTAGAGGCAGGTAGAGGCTGGATCATGGATGACCCTGTGAGCAAGAGTATACACTTCACCCTACAAGCTCTGAAGAGCCACATAAAGATCATAGCAGGGTGACATGACCAGCACATGAGCCGCGGTAGACACATGGCAAATGCCTGTGTAATGGCCGGCTGACTCACTGACTGAAGGGGTGAATGGAAGATGAGTGTATGAATAAACAAAGAATGAAGGAGTGCACCATCAAATAATCATGGAAGAAAAATATTGATACCCAAACAAAAACAGGATCCATGTTTTCTCCTCTCGTGGTGAGATTTGGTTACATGTCCACAAGGTGAACATGTCCTTGAATCATGGGATTGTCACTTTTCGGAGTGGCCAAGGATCTTAGTACTCTTAAGTTTGCAGAGGCGGCAGCTGAGATTGAAACATCCTGTCCACTTTTTCCCTCCTGTTAGAAGTTGCTGTTCAAATGCAAATTGCAACGAGCTCCTTCCCATAGCCTCCTACCAAGAAGGAAACTTAGATTTGTTTTTTTTTTTTTTTTTTTTTTATTTTTTGAGAATTTATTATCTTTATTTTAAATATGATTTATTTAATTGTAAGTATACATAAATTTTTAAATTACACTTATTATCAATGTCTTCTCAGAGCTGCTTCTTTCTTTTTATAACTATGCCAATTTATATTAGTTTCTTTTCTGTACAGGAAAGTAAATTGCCTCCAACTTTCTTCTCCAATCAAAATCCTCAAACAATACCCCAAACAAGTAGAGATGTGTCAGATGTCTTACAAAGTCCTACCTGGCTCCTCATCTGAGTCACCATTAACAAGAACAGGGAAACCATGGGCTCTGGCTGCCTCAGGGCCATGGTGTCATGGAAGTCAAAGGACTTGAGTACTGTGATATCTCACCAGCTTGGCCATTCCTTTTCACTAAGACTCCTGATCAAATGCAAAGCCTCCAGGGCGGAGTGATTATTTTAGTCATGGATATGCTAGCACAGATTGATTATTTGGAGGGCCTGAGCTCAGACAGCACGACCTCCAAGACTTGGAGAATATCTCATTTCTCTGTCGGTGGACTTGACACGACCTCCAACACTTGGAGAATATCTCACTTCTCTGTCGGTGGACTTGACACCTTGGTCCTCGGAGGGCTACCGCTGATACTAGGAAGAGGGCCTGAAATCTCACGCACTCTCTGGTTTTAATTAGTGCCTTCCTTTAGAACATATTTTTTTAAATTAATAAATGTATTTTGTTTTTGTGCACAGGCAGCATGTCAGCTGAAACACCAGTCACACTGAATATTGACCCCCAGGATCTGCAGGTCCAAACATTCACTGTAGAGAAGCTACTGGAGCCTCTCATAATCCAGGTATTAATTGCATGGAAATTACAACGTAGAGTAACTGCAGAAGAACTTAAAAAATGTGGGAAAAATAGATAATGAACCAAGAGAAGCTTTGATTTTTATAAAATGAATGGCATTAACTTTTGAACAATAATAGATACAGAGGCAGAGCCGCCCCAAACAGACCGTCAAACTGCAGCGGGAAGGCCGGGGAGGGCTGGGGGGCAGGAGGAAACTTAGATTTGGATTTGTGCATAACTGCTGGATGTTTCAGCTTAATAAACCTAATTAGGAATTACAGAGATTATGATTAAACATATTAAATGATTAATAGCATTACGCTGCTCATGTGAAAATTAAAATTAATCATCTTTAGTCAAACAGGACTTTGGAGAAATCTTTGTGTTGTTTCCTTTGATAAAAACATACAACGCTCAATTAATCATTTTGTAGCGTGCGTATATATACAAATGCCCAAAAATTGTTATGTAGGAATACCTGTGTGTTAATAGTAATTTTTAAAGATAACATGTAAAATAAAAAAGGGTTTCAGACATTGTGGGTGAATGGACTTGAAAGGATATCGGAATCCAGAGGTTGAAAAAGAAAAACAGGAAAAAAAATTTTTTTCAGACTGAGCATGTCTGGTTATGCAGTGCGCTTTAACACAAAGGACTAGACTGCAGTGAGGATCAAATGCAATGGGAAGGCAACAGTCACT